GTGCTTTAACATGGAACGCCATCACTTACCATTGGCTGAGATGAATAGAGCTGTAGGGCTCCTTCAAGGTGGCATGCGACCAAATGATGTAGCTCTTCGTTTGGGGGTCTCCCAAAGTGTTATCAGTCGATTGTGGCGGCGTTTCCGTGAAACTGGCAGTCCAGCCGAACAACATCCAGGTCGAGGACGCGCTACAACTGCAGTTCAAGACCGATTTTTGGTCTTAACCGCAAGAAGACAACCGACAATCACAGCACCTGAGTTGGTTAACGTGTTGCAGCAGACGCACCAGGTAACCATTGGTCGTGATACTGTCAGAAATCGACTGCATGAAGCAGATGTCCACAACAGAAGGCCACTTAGATGTCCACCTTTGTCGAGAGGCAATCGCGGTAGAAGATTAGAGTGGTGTCAAGAACATCAAAACTGGGATGCAAATGATTGGGCCACAGTTTTGTTTACAGACGAATCCAGGTTTGGATTTCATCCAGATTCTCGTCGAGTAAGACTGTGGAGACGACCTGGAAATAATGAACGTTTGAGACACATCCAGGAAGTCCACACATACAGAGGTGGTACAGTAATGCTATGGGGCGGAATCATGATTAGCGGCAGAACCGATCTCGTTTTTCCAAATCGCTCCCTCACAGCTCGACAGTACCTCGACACCATTCTTCTACCTATCGTCCGTCCGTTTGCTGGTGCTGTTGGTGAAAACTTCCACCTAATGCACGATAATGCTCGTCCACATGTCGCGCGTCTAGTGACTGACTGGCTCACCAACGAAGGAGTTGATGTATTGCCATGGCCAGCACAATCACCGGACCTGAATCCCATCGAGCATGTGTGGGACATGCTTCAACGAAGAATTACTCTGCATATGGGGAACATTCACACAACGTTTCAATTGAGAGAGCTTTTAATCGCTGAATGGGCAAATGTACCTCAACAAGACATTGACAATCTCATTTTGTCGATGCACGATAGATGTAGGGCCGTAATAAACCAGCGTGAAGGCCATACTTTGTACTGATTCCAATTTTTTGGGGTGCCAAAGAAGAGCCATATTTTTTTTTAGTTTTGCTTATATGCGCACTCAGTATTTTTGACCATTTAATAAATTTTGTTGTAAGTTACATTCGTTTAATAATCACCCGTCAACTTTTTTTTCCCTAAAGCGATCTAAAACAAATTATTGCCATTTTTAAAAATATCCCTAGACTTTTCCGATGTGTGTAGTTGAGCTATTGAAGTTATCATGTAGAAATTTTGCAAGTATAATTAATTACTATACAAGCATGACACATAATTTGTTTAGTCAGTATTGTGACGCCTGAAAAGCTATCAGATTAAAATGTTTTTTTGGAATACGTAATAATGGATTTTCATCAACTATCGTCAGTTCTATTATACTACTCATTTATTTGAATTTTATATTGGATGTACCCCATGATTCTTAAATTTCAAAATCACTTCGTTACTACAGTTATCATTATTAATTATGTACTATTACATCTTCACGGTCCCGAATGCATGACTCAATATTTTAAATTTTTTTGACTCACCTATAACTGTTCCCTTAAATGCCCACAAATAAAAGCCCACATTCAGAAATGGTGACATAATTGATGACACTTGGGATATTTTCAAGGGAACTTTCAACCTCATTTTGTATTTTTCTGCCAACTTGATACACCCCTCAAATATTTCCCGATCTCTTTCGTCCATTTTCTTCTGTTCTTTATTATTCTTTTATTGTGGAACTTGACAAAATGACTTTTCAGAAATTGGTATCAATCGCTAGGTGAGAAACTCAGGGTCATTCACCGTGAATAAAAACTGAAACACATCCTATAGAATCACAATGGTAGTTAGTTGGTCATTTTACAGGGTAATGCTCTTGTAATCCGTCGAAAGAAATATTTTAGATGTAGTTTTATAATTACTTTCATTCCAATTCATATTTCAAAATGTGGATGTTTGCCGATATAAAATACTCTCGAACATATAAGTCAATGCGATTATGTCCTATATGATGTATGGTGATGATAGTGTTTCGTTCTTGTCTTCAGTTGCCATTTATGAACAAAAATATTGCTACTTTCGCAAATGCGATATTTTCATTTCGTGGCGAAAATCTTATACGTTTCCTACCCTGATTTGATTATAATCTTGCATTTTTCAAAATATAATTCTGAAGATGGCATATAATCATATACATATGACCAAATTTGAGTTTCAAACTATCCTTCAGTTACCAGATAGTTGAAGTATTCAATGCTATTCTTCAATTTTTGAAAAATTTGCCACTCTCTCAGTTTAAAATCAAATTGACATTATCTTTTTCAAAATCAGTAACATGATGAACTTTTCACCATTCCGCTTTTCTATTTTCTTCAATTTTTTTCCTCTTTGAGCAATTCATGACCAATAATAGTTTGCTTTATCATCATCAGTCACTGGTCTTTATAGATTTATTCATATACTTATGTTAATGCTACGCTACTTTAATACCCATGCAGATACTTTTTTATGTTGAGTGGAAGAACAATTTGGCAGTTATTTGCATAGCTGCCAAAATTGAACTTAGCCTTCTACTATAACTTTATGTGTGTTGTTAATATTGTGATGTTTTTGTGGTTGTAGTAATAAATACGTTTATATTCCCGTAGTATGCACCGGATAGATCACTGGGTCCGAGAATCATGTGCCCTGAGCAAGCGCAGTGAGCCAAGAATGACAGCCTTCTGCATGTGCCCGGCTGAGATGTCTGCCTTAGTGCGGCAAGCCGGTATGATTTTAAGATTCGAGAGTTGAGAGGGCATCATTCCACTAAGGATTCCAATAATCAGAACAACCATCTTGACAGAGTGATCTGGATAGAGGAATATTTCGATATTTTATCCGTTTTCCCTCCTCTTTTCTGAAGATACTCGTCTCGCCAGGAGCTGGAAACTCCACGACAAATATCGTCTTGCTCTGGTGGTCGAGTGAGATGATAGCAAGATGATACCAAAACGATAGCTTGTATGCTACTGAGGGTGGGGAACAAATAGTTTCAATAAATTCGGCACTTCTCGTTCCTCACAACGGAGTCTGAGGGTGGGGAACGAATAGTTCCAATAAATTCGGCACTTCTCGTTCCCCACAACGGATTCAATATCCTCCGGAGCGTAAGGCAACACCGGTGTCTCGTCAATACCGTACGAGTGCCGTAGATGGTAATATAGAACTCTCAGAGCCACGTTATGTCGATGAATATAGGCAGAAACTGCATATGCTGGACATGCTGATAGCAAGTGCATTAGGGTCTCGGGCGCCTCGCGGCAGGCCCTGTACCTTGTGTCGGGAACCTCTATACCCATCACGCGACTGCGTTAGACTAAGGTGTTGAAGACACCATCCTGGCAAGCCATGATGAACCCCTCAGTTTCTGACTTCAGGCCACTCGACCTGAGAAAAACGAACATCAGGTGTTTTGATAAGCCCAGGTCTACAATTTTATTGAAAAATACCCCATGCATTGGCTTATACTTGTGTTTCCGCAGAAGTGAAGTGATTTCTGCGGCTTTTATATGAGCTTTATGCCTCTACGGGTTCCAACTCGGTGACAGAGTTGTGGTCACCTCGTTCAGTGTCAAAAACTAAATCGAGTTGATCAGCTGCTCGGGCAGCTACCCTAAAGACAAATTCTACAATTCCTGCTCTCTTATGGTCACGGACGATGCAGAGAAGGGGATCCGAACTCCTGAGGACTTTACAGGCTGTATCCAGTACCATTCTGTCATGTAGACACTCCAAACTCAAGAGTCCACGGCGTCCCTGTTGTCGGGGGAAGTACAACCGTGGAACGGACGATTTGGCATGCGAACTCCTATGGAGATGCATCATTTATTGGGTTAGTATTATTATTTTTGTACCGTAGTATGATCAGATCACATGAATACTCATTTCACATTTTTATTTTTTCCAAAAATCATTGAGTATTTTTCAATTGCGAAAGAAAGAAAGAAGAAAAAAAAGTTTTTGGCATTCTACATCTTTATCTTTGTACAAAGAATGTGGGAATCTTCCAAAGAAAGTTATCAATTTCAAATTCATCTCTTGATTTCTTTATTCTTTCCTCTTTTTTGTATAAAGATGGAGAAGTAGAAAGTCAAAACCTTCCTTCCTCAAAAATCAATCCCTCCTAAAAGTATACCTCCATCAATTTGAACAATATTCCAATGGCTGGGATTTAATCAAATAAGCGAATGAATCTACTTATGTCACAGATGACATGAGTAGATTCAACTCATTCGTAACATTAGGTCGTAATTTTATGAATGAATTCAGTGCTCCATCTAATAATGTTATCCAGACTGGTGCTGAAGGGGCAAGTGTCTCATTGCGAAACATCGGATGTCTACCACTGACGATTACAGTGTCCCATGTGGGTGAAATTTTACCTCGTTCATATACTTAACTGTGTAGCAATCCCATAATCCATAACGAATGTTTGAAGTAACATCTGAATAGCAAAATAGTATATTGTGTAACAAGTGCGTGAAATCGACTTTTTTACACAAGCGTGGAATTTGCAACACGAGCCCTCAGGCGAGTGTCGCAAACAACGCGAGTGTAAAAAAGTCTTCACGCACATGTTGCACACTATACTTTTTCTACGACCATACAGAGAAAATTAAGCACCATTAGTTTAAAGAGCTTTATTGAATTTCAGAATAATTAGTAAGTACCTATATTATAAAATCAACAATTAAGTTGTTTCGAAAGGGATTTTCCTCTTAGTTTCGTATCTGTACGTTACTTCTTTGCATGACCTACACATCTCGTGAAGAGTTTATCAATTACCTCCTTCATTTGATCGTCAGATTCCCAACAATTTTCTGTATGAAGATAAAAAATAGGAAGCGAAAACCTTCATTTCTCAAAAATCAATACTTTCTAAACATATAATTCTTTCAATTATTATTATAATATTTCTCTGTAAATAATATACATTGTTACTTTATATGTTTATTACATGCTAATTTACAAAATAGAATAGATAAAAATTAATATGTGTCAAAGAGGACACAGTGTCTTAAAATTGAGAGACATCACAAAAATAAATATAAAACATGTAGGTACGAACAAAATCAAAGCATGTCCAGCTTGAGCAGCATGCTCTTGATGAAAGTCAATAGTGGATACCAGAAAACACTCATCATTCTATTACAGAATGTACTCGGAATTTCTTACGGTATACGTGGTACAAACTTACAGAGAACTAATTTGTGAATAGAAATATATTGAATATATTTCTTGCCCAATATGTTCCCAAACTGAATTGAATAATATTTTGAATATAATTTCAAATACAATATTTTCAAGTCTTGGAACTGTTGATTCAAAGGTTCATAATTTTCCCTTCCTTTCATCTGCGGATACCATCCGGATGCTGACTACCCTCATCGAAAAAAACACCGTATCCTTTTTCTTGAAAGAATGTCATAATTCCTCCCAACATTGCGACTTTCAAAAACTCATTTATCATTCCTTGAATGAAAAACCATTTGTTGCCATTGGCTTCCATAGTTTCAAAATGATCTTCGACATACTCCATCAATAGCAATACATCAGTCTCCTTCATTTCATTCTCTAATACATCACCAGCACATTTTATTTTTACTCTCATTTTCATTATCAGGGCTGCTGCTAGAATGAAGCCTGAAAAAAAATAAGATAATTATTTGAAATATAATGAGAGTATTTCTTGTTGAAATAACAGCGGCGGGGTACTTCNACAAGCCCAACAAAATCTTATCGAAACCATGACGCTAAACTCGCTATTAGCAGGTTTAGAGCCAACAATCGGACAAATAGTAAGAGCAGGAAATCCACCCTCAATGCTCGAAGCTGTCCAGAGAATTAAGAGAGAATTACAACTCTCTTACTTCCAACAACAGAAACTCAATAAAAATATGAATCTTAACCAACACAAAAAACCACAAAACCCTACACAACAAAAATTTTGTAATCTCTGTAAACGACAGGGACACCTCCAAACCGAGTGTAGAGTCAGACAGATTCCCCAACAAAATTTCCAAAAACCAATGTTCCAACAAAATCCATCGATCCAACAAAATTTTCAAAAAAAAATTTCCAAACGCAAGGTGTCAGACCTAATCAACCCTCATTAAATCAAAATTTAAATAGACCATCATTAAATAAACAAAACCCAAACCAACAAAGGCCATCGGCTATACAACCCAATCCATATTTTAATCGAACAAACACTCAAAGAGCACATTATCTCAATCAAGGCATAGATAGTTATCAAGAAAATTTTAATGAATTTTCTGAAAACCCCTACAAATTCGAAGACTATGCAGCAAGTTTTCCAACATATCAAAATTTCCATGAAAACCCGAACGTTGAATCTGTTGATTACCCGCAAAGTCAATTCAATCAGGATTTTCAATTTGTACTCAAAATCCCATTGACTGAACCTCCAATTTATACCCTATACCATGTGTACCCCATTCCAATATTTGATGATAGAACACGGCTACATCATATTTTGCAAATTTCACAACAATATATCGTGAAAGACGATGACTCTTTAATGTTCATACCAATCACGGATATGAGTGCGTGTAAGACATTGACATTCCAAACTAAATTGTGTTACAATATGTTCGCATATCCGATTGACCAAACCTCAATTTGTGAAGCCCAAATTTTCAAGAACACGAAAAACGTTCCAACCAACTGTCAGAGCTCCTTATTTTTCAGTCAGAATTATAAAATGCACAAAATTGAAACGAACCTACGGCTAGTGATACTCTCGGAACCTTTACAAGTGACTATAAACTGTCCCGAAAAGAAAGTGAAAACGGAATTAATAAACAAAAACTCTCTCATAACTCTTGAAACGGAATGCAGTGCCTTTATTGGAGTAACAAAAATTCAAGCTGATTCCAGATTTTCGAAATATTCAAATATCTCGTATGGATCACATCCAGTCTTAATACCATACGAATGTTGCAATAACCTACCGGACAAATCAAGTATTCCAAAACTGAAGCCATTGAAATTGAACGATTTGAATGTCGATGATTTGGAAATTTTCAAACACAAACTTGATTCATATTCCAAAACCCTGGATGATTTGATAAATCAACCATATGTAACCAAACTTATTTCTTGGTTTACATACTTCACCATTACGCTAATTATTGTGTTAATAATTCTGTACACCTTTTGTAAATGCAGAAGAAGACGTCGCAGCAGCCTAGCAATTGCAGATGTCAGATGACCCTTCAGGCCTTTTAAGCTTTTTACAAGTATGTTCCCAAGAAGAAGACCCAGCCTTCAAGATGAGATTCCCGAGGACGATGAAATCGCATTAGACGATTACTAATATATTTTTTGTATTTTACAGCCCCAAAAGTTGCTTCATGAGGAACCAACATTTTTTGGTAAAGGGGAGTTGTTATATGCCCATGGCTGACCTCTACCATTCATCTCCAAGGTGACCAACTCAAGAACAAAGCTGAATCAACATCCGGCACCTACGCAGTTCCAGAAGGATTCCAGGCGCCGTTTACTGTTCTTTGTTCACCTAGACGCTTACTTCATGATATATTTTCATATAAAAAACGTCCTGTGTGGCGTAATAAAGTTAGTAGTATTCTAGTTGTCATACTGTTACTACTCAACTCTGGGGATACAGATCTGTTTCCCCTGTTCAATAAATATTGATTTTTTTGGAAGCTTGTGACTAAATTTCGAACCCAGTTTACATTATTGGACATTAAACCACCAACACGCATACGTAGAGTGAGGACCGAAGAAAATATTGCGGCGGTATTCGCCAGTATTCGTGATGAACGTGAAATGTCGATTCGCCGCTGTTCGCATCAGTTGGGCCTCTGTTACTTCACTACGTGGAAAATTTTGCGAAAGGATTTGGGTATAAAACCTTATAAGATACAGCTGGTACAAGAAAATTGAAGACACACGACCTCTCATAACATTTGGTGAATGAACGCTGGCAAAGTTGGAGGTAGATCCACATTTTTCTCAAAAAGTTGTGTTCAGCGACGAGGCTCATTTCTGGTTGAATGGATACGTTAATGAGCAAAATTGCCTTATCTGGAGTGAAGACCAAGCACAAGCATTGCAAGAGTTACCAATGCATCCCGAAAAAGTCAGTGTTTGTTGTGGATTATGGGTCGGGGGCATCATCGGGCTGTACTTCTTCAAAGACGACAATGTGAATGTCGAGCGCTACCGTATGATGATTGACGATTTTTTGTTGCCCAAAAAAGGAAGAACTGAACATGCCTGGCATGTGATTTCAACAAAACCGTGCCACATGTCACACAGCACGCCAAACAATGGACCAATTAAGAGCTGCCTTCAATGAACAGTTTATCTGACGTTTGATGTCCGTCAATTGGCCGCCTAGATCGTGTGATTTAACGACTTTGGATTATTTCTTGTGGGTTTATGTTGAGGATTATGACTACAGGGATGAACCAGCAATGACTGACGCTCTGGAAGCCAATATTGAAGCATTTATAGGTGAAATACTGGTCGATATGTTAGAGAGAGTGTGCCAAAATTGGACCTTGCGCATGAGCCGTCTAAAGCGGAGCCGCGGACAACATTTGCATGAAATCATCTAACATTGAATTATTAATAAACAGTGAGTCTCTTTTCACAAAGAATATTGTAGTAAAATGAATCTAATTATTTACAAGAAGTGCTTCAGCGAACCCGTTGAAAAATTTTCATTACTTTTCCTCGTGGTAGACTAGAGATGAAGTGTGTGAGCTTTTTTGTTCATTTTTGGAAATGATTCACAATTTTTCACGTTATCCAGTAAGGAGTTGAAGAAAATCGGTCCCACTGAATGAATTACGCTGTAAATTCTCATCAGTTGTCGAATAATTCAATTACATATTATGTGGTGATTTTTGTGAGCATTTCATCGGGAATTATTGATTTTCATACTATCTTTTTCGTTAAAATTAACGCGAGAGACGATTTTAAAGAGCATCAAGAGGTTTCCGATAAATAGTTCGAAACAGTTAATGGGATATACGATGCGGTGTATGATGAAAACGAATTTTCTGTCATTTTTGGTTTGAATATTACATTAGAAAATTGTGAATCATCAAGGCTCTACTCAAACTGCAGTTTGAGAATCTTAGCGACTGGAGAAATGTACAGTGAAATGGAATAACGGGGTCTCCCAGTCGAAAAATCAAAAATCAAAAGATTGAGAAGAGTGGTTTTCTACAATGTTGATGGTTTTCGAAGCGAGGAAAGAGGAACTAGCATTATTGAATAAAGGTTTGAAATACGGCATCAGATCTCCCCAAAAGAATTTGGAAGAAGCAGTCGTACTTATCGAAAGCTCTATTCAGCAACTACCGGAATCTTCACAAGGATTTGTTCGCGAAGCATGTAAACAACAAATTTCCAAAAATATGAGCAAAGAGCCACATATTTCATCGAGAAAAGAGCAGAAAATTATCAAAAGATTGAAAGAAAAAGACTGTTTTCATTTAAAAGTGGCAAATGTAACAAAGTGATGATTTTGGATAAAGAAGATTATTTTGAGAGAGTCGACAGCTTAATTGAAAAGGTCCATATCAGAAATTACCACGAAATCCATTATCCAAGATGACCGCTAACGTAAAAGCCACATTGAAGAAATGCAAGACACTGATCACACCGATTTTAAACAGGAGGCTACAACTTTCAAATCCCACAGTACCAAAGATATATTGTTTACCAAAAATACACAAACCTGGAAAATCGATGCGACCAATAGTCTCAGCAATTAATTCGCCTTCGTATAATATCGCTAAATGGTTGACAAAAGAATTTGAAAATCTCCCGATCGGCCCAACCGATGCGAGTGTTAAAAACTCACAAGAATTCATAGAGAAAATAAAAGATATTAANTATTTTTTAATGAAAATTTGACAGTTTTGATTTATAACGACTACGAATCCAGTGGTGTAGTCAAATTTGAAAACAAAAATTGCCTAATAAACTTTTGCCGTTTTTGACAAACAAAAAAAACCATAGAGTGCCTTGGAAATGAAACTAAAATTGTGAAAGTTAGTGTCAAGATACAGTTTTTCATGCTTAATATTTCAATAGAAAAAAAATTGAGATTGATTGAAAAATGCACATTCTACAGGGGTGGTTCCATTTTAAATGGGTCACACTGTATATATATATGAAATCTAGAAAGGTTAATGCAGTCATTCTGCTGGAAAATAATTCCATGAAATTCAAAAAATAAATAGATAAGTACTTTTTGATCATTCCCATATTGATTTCAATTTAAGAGCCACCGGTAGACAGCTGTTTCAGCCTGAGAAAAACCAAGAAAGTACCTGATAAAAATAGCTGCGAAAACGCAAGTGAAACATAAGTGGAACCACTTATTGGTGTGACAATATTGACAACCGCAGTTGTCGGTTGATTGGTCAAACCACCAACACTGATATAAAAACTTGGCAAGTTAACTTGGGTGTCCGAACTGATGAAATAAGTATCGTTCAGTTCTATCATACTGTTTGAATTTCCAATTGAATGGCTTATCATCACAGTTCGTATTCACAACATTATCATTATTTATGGTGTAGTAGTACACCTTCACGGTCTCGTGACTCCATATTTTAAATTTTTTTTGACTCACCTAGTAATATTCCTGAATATGTCCACAATTTAAAGCCCACAATTATAAATAGTAATATAATTAATAACAAAAGGGTCATACTCAGGGGAACTCTTAACCTCATTCTGGATTCTCTGGCCAACCTAATACAAATATTCAATATTCTTCGATGTCTTTCGTCCATTTTCTTTTACTTATTCTTTCAATGTGGAACTGGACGCAATAACTGTTCAAAAATGAGTATAAATCGCTAGATAAGAAACTCAAGGTCATTTACTACGAAAAAACGGAAACATTCCATAGAATCGGAATGGTGGTCAGTACAGGGTGGTCATACAGGGTAATTCTCATGTGATCCACCATAAAAAAATGTATTGTAATGAAAAGAGAAATGAAAATTTCTATGTTTATACCACTTTTATTTGTAACTAACGTTACTGCAGTTTCGTCCTATATGGACATTCTCAAACTTATACAATGAACTAACAATGATTTATAACATTCGCCAATATATATCTTTCAGGTACTTGATTGAGTACCTAAATTTACAGTTCACATTGCGGATGTGCCAATTTAAAAACCGGAGAGTAAATTAAATCGATTTGGTCATTTAACAGGTTGCACCCGTAATGTGTATGCTTGTGAATTTCCAAGGGTTCTAAATAATTGAGTTTGCAATCCTTCCTTTCATAGTGCAGAATTTCCGTATCGTTTAGATTCGGAAACTTGTGGTTGCATGCCAAGGAATGGTTTGAAAATGTCGAATCATTTCTTCCTAGTCTGAAGGACCTTTCATATTCAGCATACCGTTTTTGGAAATTACGGCCACATTGTCCCACATAAACACTATTACACTCCGGACACTTAAGCTTATAAACTCCAGATTTTACAACTTGTCGATCTTATATTTGGCATTGAAAAGGCAATGAGATAACCTGTCATGTGGTCTGAATGCTTCTTCCACATTATTTTTTCTGAAGAAACCTGTGATTATTTCTGTTCTTTTTCCAAAATATGTTTGCGTTGCCCATTTCTTGATTTCTGGTTGTTTGACCTGAGGATATATCAATCTGTGAGTGAATTTCCGGCTTTGTTTCCTGACTAACTTCTGGATAGTATCTGCGTTGAAACCATTATAATGACCTATCTGTGTAATTGTATCAATTTCCCTAGCTAGATTGTCTGCAGACAAAGGCAGTGAGAATGCTCTGCGCAACATTGAATTGTAGGCTGCTATACTAAAACCAATAATGATTGAGAGTAGAAGTAAGCCCAGTTGACAGCAAATTGGGGTCGGGCTTATTAATTTTTGAGGGGGTTGAGAATGAAAGAAAAATTCTTAGTACAATTAGTTAAAATATTCATACACATTTTTTATTTATTTCATTAAAACTTTGCAATATCGTAATTTACCTAATCGTTGTAGTNCAATTTGTTTTTCTCTTACTGACCGAGACTCCGACCGTTTTACCTTTTTCGACGTGGAAGGCCCGACCATGTCTCCCATTTTTTGAGTAGTTTGAGAACGGTGTAGAGATATAATTATGTAACGCTTAAACACTTATCAGCACTATTATTTTCACCATTTGTTATCACAACACGTCGATTGCTGACTAACTTAACTGTAAAACGTACAATTCACGCTGTAAAATTTTCAAATTGTAGTCGTAATTTCAAGATAGAAGTAGAAATTTTGGTTGAAAAGTCGAAATTTTGAGATTGAAGTCGAAATTTCAAAATTTAAATAATAATTTCAAGTTTGAAGTCGTAATTTACAGTTTAAAGTCGACATTTCGTGAGTGAAGTCAAAATTTTAAGATTGAAGTCGACACATCAAAATTAAAGTTGTGATTTCGAGATTGTAGTCAAAATTTCGAGTTAAAAGTCAAAATTTCGTGATTGAAGTGAAAATTTCAAGTTCGAAGTAGAAATTTCGTTATTGAAGTCAAAATTCGATAATTAAAGTTGTTATTACGAGATTGAAGTCAAAGATTCGGGTTTAAAGTCAAAATTTCGTGATTGAAGTAAACATTTTGAGTTCGAAGTTGAAATTTCGTTATTGAAGTCGAAATCTCAAGATTGAAATCAAAATTCGATAATTAAAGTTGTGATTTCAAAATTGTAGTCGAATTGTCGAAATATTTTGAGTTCGAAGTTGAAATTTCGTTATTGAAGTTGAAATCTCAGGATTGAAGTCAAAATTCGTTAATTAAAGTTTTTATTTCGAGACTGAAGCCAAAATTCGATAATTGAAGTTTATATTACGGTATTGAAGTCGAAGTTTTGGGTTTGAAGTCAAAATTTCGTAATTGAAGGAAATATTTTAAGTTCGAAGTTGAAATTTCGTTATCGAAGTTGAAATCTCAGGATTGAAGTCAAAATTCGTTAATTAAAGTTTTTATTTCGAGATTGAAGCCAAAATTCGATAATTAAAGTTGATATTACGGTATTGAAGTCGAAGTTTCGGGTTTGAAGTCAAAATTTCGTGATTGAAGGAAATATTTTAAGTTCGAAGTTGAAATATTCGTTATTGAAGTCGAAATCTCAAGATTGAAGTCAAAATTCGATAATTAAAGTTGTGATTTCAAAATTGTAGTCGAATTGTAAAAACATTTCAAGTTCGAAGTTCAAAATTCGTTATTGAAGTCGAAATCTCAGGATTGAAGTCAAAATTCGTTAATTGAAGTTTTTATTTTGAGATTGAAGTCGAAATTTGGGGTAAATAGTCGAAATTTCGAAACTTGAATCGTAATTTTGAGTTTGGCGTCGTAGTTCCGAAAAAGAAGTATAAATTTTGAGTATAAAGTCGAAATACCGTGAGTGAAGTCGAAATTTCGAGATTGAAGTCAAAATATCAAAAAACAACAATGAAATTTATGCTACTCTTTCAGTTCGGATAGAAAAAACTCACGTCATATTTCTTTGGTTGAGATTTTCATTGAATTCGTTTGAAACGAGCAGTGTAATGCAGCTCGTAATTGAAGAAATATTCGATTCTTTTAACTATTGTGAATAGCTCTCTTTCTGTAAACACAATCAACCCATTGTCTTCATCGCTGAGGTCTCTCCCGAGGAAATGTCTCTCCACATAGAGAACCAATTTTTTCTTTTCTTCTGTAGACAAGTGATGTTCAATGTATTCTTTAGCTGATTTCGTTTCTATGGACGAAACAATCGCCAAAGTGATTGTAATGATGACAACTACAACAACAATACAAAAATAATCATTAACTGAATGTTCATCGTAAAGTTTGAGAAAATGAATATTTCAGAATGAAATGTCGAAACATTCAACTCTCCCTCAGAGTAACAAAAGACAATTTTGCATCCTCACACTGAAGGCAGCATAACTTTGTTTGTTTACGAGAAGTAAGTTGGACAATAAAACAGTGGCGGTTGGTTTAGTTGATAGTCGGAGGGATAGTATATATTTATAAAATGAGTCAGGAGAAAATGTATTCTGTTCAAATAGGTCCTACAGGAAATCTGATTTTTTATTAAAGATTATGAAAATGGGGCCAGTTTTTCTACCAACTACTAGATTTTTATTTATGTATGGCTTTATAACAAAGGACATGGTTTACTGGGTTAAAATTAAATTATTTCATATGAATCAATTCATAAATTCATAAATGATAATTTCAAAAGTAATGAACTTTGCTTCATAAAATTAATGAAGAAAAGAATGTTCGATTAGATATCATGATTTCATTCAAAATTGGTATCTATATTATTTGACAATCCAACAAAAAAAAAGGAAAAAATTGACAACCGTCATTTGTTATTGAATATTGTCTGTATGCACCGTGAGAGCTTCGTGCAAAGAAAGAAATACCAAAACGGAAATCATATTCTTTATGTGACGTAAGTTAGTATTTAAGTGAGCAATAACAGATTTAACACCGGTTGCACAAGAATAACTATTCAGTATACAAACTGAACATTGAGCAGAAAGCCTTTTAATCTGTGGATCACAGAATGAATGCACAATCTAAAACAACTAGTCAAACCAAGTGAATCACATAATATAAAGAGAATTATGTTTGAAAACAGAAATGGAAAAAAAATATGTGATAATCCAATAGAGATTGCCTATAATTTTAATGAATAGGTTATAAACAGTGTAATTGAGGTAGAAAATAGTATATATTGTGATGAGATATAGACACCGAATAACTATGGGCCCATTAACAGTAGGTTGAGTCAAATCAAAAAATAAACATGATAACTTTAGGTAAGATAATTTTTTCTCTTGATAAAGTAAATAAAAGTGAAATTATCAATAGTAAATTCTTGAAAGAAACTTTCGATGTGTCTGGGCATATAATATTGAACTTCATAAATACTTCCTGGGGACTGTTTCCAAACCAGTACAAAGTTAGTACACTGAATCCAATTCCGAAAATAAATAATACAAGTGATGCAAGTAATTTTTGTTCAATAAACAGTCTTCCAACGCTTGAAAAAGTACTGGAACTGGCAGTATATGAACAACTAGTTACATACTTCAATGAAAATAATTTATTCATCGAAAATCAGTCTGGTTTTCGTAAGAATCACTCATGCGAAACAGCGTTACAACTTACAGTCACAAAGTGGAAAAAAGGTATTGATAGGAAAGAATATATTGTTGCTATATTTCTAGATTTGAAGCGTGCCGTTGAAACAATTGATATAAAAACTTTAATCAATAAACTGAAGTGTTATGGTGTGAATGAAAAAGCTTTAAACTGGTTAGATAGTTATCTTGAGCAAAGAAGTCAAAGAACTGAAATTTGTGAAATGTCAGATTAAATTATAAATGACATAGGTGAACCACAAGGCAGTGTTTCAAGACCACTGCTATTCATTATATATACAGGGTCCTGCAACAGTGGCGCGGTGTTCCATATCTCAATTCAGGAAACAAATAGGGATCTAAATTTCTATAATATTACCTCATTGTACAGGTTCGACAAAATAAAAATATTGGCGGTCACACAGGGTGACCCATTTTGAATGAAATCACATAATAATATCAAACCTCAATCGTAATTATAAATATTCATGATTTCTAATCGAAAATTATATCGGAACCCACAAACCCTACCGCTTGTTCATCAAATCTGATAATAAATCACAAATTTCTTCATCTAATTATATGAAGCAAAGTTCATCACTTTCAAAATTAACATTTATCATTGTTATGAATTAGTTCATTTGAAATAATTTAATTTTAACTCAGTAAACCACGCGCTTTATTATAAAGCCATACATGAATAAAAATCTAGTAGGTGGTAGAAAAACTGGCCTCATTTCCATAATCATTAATAATAAATCATATTTCCTGTAGGAACTATTTGAACAGAAAGAATACATTTTCACCTGAAATGATTCATTTTATAAATATATAATATCCCTCCGATTGTCAACTACCCACCGCCACTGTTTTATGGTCCAACTTACTTCAAATGTAAACAAACTCTCCATAACCCCTCATTAACGCCACCCCCGTCGAACATAAGTTGTACAGAAAAGGATAAAATACATGTATTGTACTGGTATAGGCATGGCAACTCTATGTCTCATTATTACTCTGATAATTCTCCCAACGTCACTACGCTTGGCAAATCTAGTTGAACCTCTGTAGCAGGAGGAGAGTGGCAAGAGCTCATTAACATCAAGGAACTCGTGTAGCGAAAATCGTGTCAGTACAGTATGTGAAGTAATTATTCGCTGTGGTGACCGGCGAGTTATTTGTTGTCTTTGAAAATGCCTTCGAACAATGAAGTAAAAACCAAGGTTTTCAGTTGACAAAGTAGAGAAATTGTGATCAACGTATCAAGATTCATACAAGCGGAAGCAACTGCAAACGGAATAGGAATTCCTCTTGCTGAGGTAACAAATTATAGTGAAAATGAGTGAAATTGTACTCATTATTATATTTCACCTATGAAGGTTCAAGAACGATTCGTTGAGATCATAAGGGTTTGCATACGAACTGAAGAAAACTCAGATAAAAGATGAAAAAAATTAAAAGTTGTGGGAAAAACATTCCAAATCCAAATGAAACTGTATTAAAAATTCCAAAATTGCGATGGATGATGTTGATTTGTCAGTTTTACACAGGTGTACAATTAATTTCCATATCAAAGAGACACACCCAGGAAAATTCATTAAACTATCATACCAGATATTGACTATCAGGGTAGGAGGGAATCTTCGCGAAAAAAAATTCATAAACTCAGATTTCGAAGGAGGAAGGTGAAAAGTAACAGGAAAATATTGATAGAACGCAGGTCTATTCGACTACTGAAAATAGAGTTATTGAAGTAAATGCGGACCTTTAGAGAAGAATGTCAAACTACTATTAATGTGGATGAAACATACAGGATGATTGACGGTGGATGGCACATTAGACGTTTCTGGTGAACCAGACAATGGATCCCTTTTGAAATTCAATGAAGATCATATTTTTGACAATGCGGTGTTATTACTTCTATTAGAAATTAGTAGCAACTTTGATTTTTGAAACGGAACACTCTGTATATTATATCATTTTTGAAACCTACAATAATTACTGTGCAACTTTTTTTGATATTTTCCAATAATTATCTGTTACCGTTTTCGAAATATAAATTAATTTGAATTTTTTTCTTCGAAAATCATGACCTCTAAAAATGCTGATATTTTTGAGTTGAGGAATACTACGGTACCGAAGTTTAGTTTGAAGTTAGTGATACTTGGAAGCTTTCAACACTTCCTTACTTCAATACATGGTGGTAAAAAAATACAGTGTTTTCGTTTGCTTGAAAATATTACTGAAAGTTGATTATTTTGAGGCACATCTTCTGCTGATAATTTTATTACATTGTTCAAAAATAATAAATAAATTCATAATAACTTTGTTTGAATTGTTTTTCCATCATTTTGAAGGTATTTCAAACTCATGAATGCCAATATTATTAGGACAATGTCACAATGCTACTGTCAAATATTAGTAATAATAATGTTCACGAAATACCCTATGGAAATAAATGCCCTCATAAGTCCAAAACTTCGTTAGTTAGGTATACGCATAGGTATATACATAAAAAAACAGCAAAGTTTAACAGGTTTCTGTGTAATTTCACCACCTCGTATTGAAGTAAAGAAGGTTGCGCTGAAACATAAAAAGCCTCTAAGTATAATCTAACTCCCAACTAAATTTCGGTATCATAGTATCCCTCAACTCAAAGATATCAGCATTTTAATAGGTTACGATTTCCGAAGAAAAAAATTGATATCAATTAATATTTTGAAAACGGCAACAAATAGGTATAGGACAACATCAAGAGAAGTTGTCTGGTAATTGTTGTAGCTTCCAGGTTGTTGTATTTGAAAAACCAAAGTAGCTATATTATTATTGCAAAATAGTGGACACTGAATTCTCAGAAAGTTTTTATTATGAATCAAACAAGTTGTCCGTTATTCTATAACCATTCATCTGCATGTGTATGATTTGAATAGATGATGATAAAATACTGATATCGCTGGAATTTTGTTGATTCGTTCATTATCCGTCACCACAATGCTTCTTATTATTACTTTTATTTTTGACCTTCGCAAGAGGAATTCCATCTGCAGTTGATTCTGCTGGCATACACTATTCACAATTTCTCTGCACTGGTTTTCAGGTTACTGTTTCAAAGGCATCAAATTACGCACAGTTCATTGCACAGAATAATTTATCCACTTTATGTTCGCGACACGATGTGAACTACACGAGTTTCTCGATGTTATTGAGTTCTCGCATCACTCTGTAGGCTGATCTACTGCGCTTTCAATATTCAGAGGCACAGGTAGATTTACCAAGCTGTACTGATCAATAGAAATGAAGTGCATTGAGGACGAAGATTGATCCTAACTTTTTTACAGTTTTCCTAATAAAAATATTTCAGAAAAAATTCACTTAATCAATTCTGATGGAATTGATAATACCAAATAACTTTTTTCATAAACTACACCTTACGATTTGGTCATCCCAAACTTTATATTAAAAAATAATACATGGATTGGAAAGTCTCGAGCCTAACATGTAGATGGCGCTAACGAAAGCTTGGAAGCATCCTACACCATCTGGATGCCGGAGAGACGTATACTTACCTCGGGGTGGAACAACGCCACTCACAAGAGGTAACCGCAGTGAAAAACTCTCTCTGCGGCAAGTATCAGCACAAACT